GATGAATGAGACTTGGGGAGTGAGGATAGAAGAGGAATCAATGAGGGATGACTCTGTGGACTTTGGCTTGAGCCACCAGGTCTTAGGCCACCAGCTGAGATGGATCAACTTGAGAAGAAACTTGGACAAAAAATAAGTTTTCTGCCCATGTTAAGTTCGAGATGCCTGTGTGGCATGCAAGAGGGTATTTCAAGCAAGCAGCCGAGTACCCAAGCCTTAGGCCAGTGATGGCGAACCTATGACACGCGAACTCATTTTTTTGGTTGATTTTTCTTTGTTAAATGGCATTTAAATATAAAAAATAAATATCAAAAATATAAGTCTTTGTTTTACTATGGTTGCAAATATCAAAAAATTTCTATATGTGACACGGCACCAGAGTTAAGTTAGGTTTTTCAGAATGCTGACATGCCGAGCTCAAAAGGTTCGCCATCACTGCCTTAGGCAAAGGGTCAGGTCAGAGACATCAAGCTGAGGGGCGCTGACTATGGACAAGAGTCACATCCAAGGGAACGAGAGGCATCATCCAGGGACAGAGTGGAGGAGGAGTCTCAGTCAAGCCAAGGCAAATGCCAGCAAAAGAGCCTGAGGAGGGACAGTCAACGAAGGGGGTGGGGGGGACCATGACATGATGTCATGGAAACCAAAAGAAGAAGGCTTTTGGAGAAGGAGGGAGTGGTCACCTGGGCTGAAAGCTGCTGGGAGAGCAAGACAAGACATGGCCAGGGAATTGGCAACAGCAGTTGCTGTGCCCTTGAGAGCTGTTTTGGAGGAGCGGTGGGGACAGAAGCCCAGTGGAGTGGGCTCCGGGAGAATGGAGGGAAAGACGTGGAGCAGCCAGTAGGGACAACTCTTCAAGGCGTCCCTCTGGGAAGGGGAGCAGAGGCGGGTGAGGCTTTCTGACGCCGGAGGCTATGCTGGCATGCTCACATGCCAAGGAGACCCATCAGTGGGCAGGTGGGAGAAGCCATGAGGAAGGAGAGAGCAGCGTGCAGGGCGAGGCCCTTGTGAAGTGGGGAGGGTGCAGCCCAGCGCACAAGTGGGTGGGCCGGCCTTTGACAGAACGGGGTTATCGGGAGGCCAAGTGTGGGATCCCATGTGAGCAGGTGGGTGCATTTGGTGACATGTACGCATTTGGAAGGTCTGACACCCATACACTTCCCTGTGCCCACTCCCAGCAGGGGCTGCAGCAGGAGCAGGGCCAAGACCAACTTGTGGTGTGCGGGTCCTTTACAACGTCAAGTTGACATGCCCTGGTTGAGGGAATGAAGGAGTGAGGCACGAGCCAGCGTTCTTGCCGCCTCCGCACGGCCCTTCGGCTCAGACCTTGTGTTTGAAATTGAGATCGGTGGGGAACTCCTGGCTTTCCCCGGGGCTCCTGCAACCTGGGCCATCCTGGCTCCAGGAGCCATAGACTGCTCCATCCTGTGGGTTCGGAGGGGGGAGGCACAGGTGTGGTCCACCTCCCCTCCAGCTGCCGTGTGACCTCGGCGCTGGCTGTGACCCTTTCAGCAATTTCAGTCGTTAGTCAGAGCTGGGTCCACGGCCCTGTGTTCACCCACTGCGTCTGGGAAGTCCCCTGGACGCTGCGATGCCCAGCGTCCTAATCTGTAAACAGCATAATAGTTCTCCGGAGGGAACAAGGGAATGTCGACAAGGTGCCCAGCTGGTCCCCGCATGGAGTAGATCTTGCAAGAGAAGGTTCCATCCCACCCTCTCTCGGCCCCACCCCAGGGTGTACTGGCCCCAGCTGTGGCCCAAGTGTGCCACGTGGTACCCCTGGTGGCGGGCGGCATCTGCCAGTGCCTGGCCGAGCGCTACACTGTCATCCTGTTGGACGTGCTGCTGGGCCGCGTGCTGCCCCAGGTGGTCTGCGGCCTTGCCCTCCGGTGCTCCAGCGAGGATGGTGCTGGCCCAGGTGAGCCTGCTGTCCCAGCCCTGCCACTGCCCACTCTCATCCCCCTCCCCAGCCCTGCATGACCCCTTCCTCTCCCTCTCTGGCCCCCCTGCACTGCCCCAGAGAGGACAGGAACTGAACACCTCTGCGGGGCGCCTTTGACTGTTTCCTGTCCAGGTCTCACGCCCCTGGGGTTCCTGCCGGGAGAATGGCTACAGCAAGACCCCAAGTGCCGCTTCTGCGAGTTCGTGACCACCCAGGCAGGGAACAGCAGTGAGCAGGCCGTGCCTCAGGCAATGCACCAGGCCTGCCTCCGCTTCTGGCTGGACAGGCAAAAGGTGCGGGGCAGGCAATGGGGACTGGGGCCCAGGGCCTGCCCGAGGGAGAGGGTTGAGCCAGCAAAGGCTTCCCAGCAAGAGGTGCACAGAGCCGGCCAGACCCCTGCGGTCAAGGAGCTCAGGCAGGACGGGGTGTGGGCCGAACAATGATGGGGCTGTAATGGGCAAAGCCTGCTGTGGTCAGGAATGGCCCCAGACAAAGGCATGGGCTTGGAGGACCAGCAGCCGCCCCCCCCCCCCCTTGGACCAAATGTGAGGGCGGTATCCATCAAGAGATGAATAACGCCAGGGCCAGCTGGAGCAGGAGGGGGCCTGGGCTTCTCGCCACCATCCGCCTGTCCCAGCCCCAGCCCCCTCCCGGTGTGACTCCCTGGGGACAGACCCACCTACAAAAGGAGACGTCCCACCCTGGCCGGTTTTCTCAGTGGTTAGAGCATCGGCCCTCAGACATAAGGGTCACAGGTTCAATTCCTGGTCAAGGGCAGGTACCTGGGTTGCAGGTTCTATCCCAGGCCCTGGTCAGGGCATGTGCGGGAGGCAACCATTCGATGTGTCTATCTCACATCAATGATTCTCTCTCTCTCCCTTCCTCCCTCCCTTCCACTCTCTCTAAAAATCAATGGGAAAAATATCCTTAGGTGAGGATAAAAAATTTTAAAAAGGAGAAAGGAGAGTAAACTCCCTTCCTAAGTAAGCTAGGTCCCAGGAGGCAGCTCTGCCATGTTCTTCTGGTCGGTAACTTTCAGGCCCCCACTGCGCGCCACATCGCGTCTCTAGGACCAGATGAGCTGGAAGAGTTCCTCGAGAACTGAAATTTTGGGGAGGGAATGGTGGTGGCTAGGATTCTGACCCTCTGCCTGGGTTTCCCCCACGGAAACCTACATTCCAGCCCCTGCCAGCTGCGTGAGGGTCTGATGCCTGGACCTACACGGGGTCAGAGGGAGCCTGGAGTGACCCAGCGAAATGGAGAGGCCAGGCCGGCAAGGCGGGAGCACCGCAGGCCCTGGGCCCACCCACACCGTGTCTTTCTCCTTCCTCAGTGTGAGCAGTTTGTGGAGCAGCACTCGGTGCAGCTGCAGACCTGATGTCCAGGGGCTGGGATGCCCGCACCACCTGCCAGGTGTGCCCTCCCCTCCCAGGTGGCCCTAGGGCTTCCCTCCGCTCCCAGAGCCCCCACCGGCTCTGGCCCACGATCCTCAGAGACCCCACACCCTGGGTCCAGAGCAGCCACTCCCTCCCCCTTTAATATAGAAAAGGCAGGCTCAGAGGGTTCAAGGAAGAGCCACGAAAGAATGAAAAAAGGAGGAGTCTGAGAAGGGAGGGGCAGCTTACAGGCGTAGGAGTGTGGTTTGACGTGCATTATGGGATGGGGTGTTTGTTCATGGAGCCGTGTATGTTTGGTGGGGGTGGAAAGTGTCCCGGGACAAGCATCATCCCACTTCCTCCTGCTCTAAACACCCAAGCCCCCCCTTGGCTCAGAAGTGGCCTGAGAGGTCACACGAAGAGCACCCCCGGGGGCAGGTGGAGTGAGAGCCATGGCTTCAGCTTGGGAAGGAGCCTTGGCCCCCTCAGAGCTGGGGATAGGGGATGGGGTGCGAGGCCTGAGGCCCAGTGCTGTCCCTGCACAGGCCCTCGGGGTGTGTGCGGCCACGCTCAGTCCTCTCCAGTGTATCCAGGATCCCCTCTTCTGACGAGAATGCAAAGCTGTGCGGGTGAGTCCAGGCCCCAACTCGGGGAGGGAGGGAGGTGGGTCCTGCACCCACCAGGAGGGGCTCTGCTCCCCAGCCCCCCTCCTCACAGGCCACAGCTCTTGCAAGGCTCCTGAGGGCCCCCCACAGCTCAGCCTGGGCTCCCTGGTCCTCAGTGTTTGGTGCATTCAGACCCAGGCCGTCCTCTCCTGACACTGAGGGGAAGTCAGACTTGGCTGCCCAAACCTGTTGACAGGAAGCCCACCGTCACGGGCCCTCCCTCCCGAGACTCCTTTCGCTCTCGCTGACTGTCATCCTCTAAGTCAGAGGTGGCACCCCCTTAGGATGGACGGGTGGTCACATGCACCTCTGCGAACAGGGGCCCCGGGCAGGAAAGCGACCCTGAGAGGGACGGACACAACAGTGGACTTGAAGTCCCCTGAGAGCAAACTTGGTCTTTACAATTCTGCTCAGAGCCAGCCCCTGACAGTGGTCACTTACTCATACCTTCACTCACTTTCTGAAAATGTCCTGTGTCCTGGAGCCAGGCCCCTTTCGGGGGCAGAATTGTATGCAAAGCAGGGAGCCCCTGGCCCTCCTGGAGCTCACTCCCCGGGTCCACCTCTTCCATCTGAGGGGGAAGCCCCGCTCCTGACACCTTCCCGAACCAAAGCCCCTGTGGGAGGCGGTGGGAGAACACGGGGTGGAGATGTCTGCCCCGACCAGACCTGCCCCACAGGGACCAGGTGAGTGACAGCAGCGGGACCCGGGCCAACGAGGGCCACGCCTTTCCCAGCTCCCAGGTCTCCCCGCACCAGGAAGAGCTGGGCCAACCACCCCTGTTGAAACAGGAAGAGCCGTGTGTTGGGACAGGAGGCCTCAGCTCTGTTCCCAACTCTACCATCAGCCGGCCGCAGGTCCCCAGCAAGGATACACTGCCCCCTCGCTGGCCCTCATTCTCCTCCCCAAGGGGGAGCCATCAGGTGTCTCCAGGACCCCAGGGCCCCCCCACGTGACAAGGCTCCTCCTCAGGCTCCCCTCTGTCCCCTCCCCAAGAGAAGCCTTCACTCCCCCGCCCACCTCCTTTCCTCAAAAGGACTTTAAGCTGGTGGACGGACCATGAGCCTGCAGCTTGTACCCTCAGTCCTGTGTTGGTCTGGCCCATCCTCTCTGGGTGGGAGGCACGGCCAGGGAGCGTATTCAGAGGATGAGGGGCTCCAGTCCAGTCCAGATCAGCCTTCCCACGCCGCCGCCACCGCCACGGAGCCAGCCCAGGCCCCATGAATCCCGCAGGGCTGGGCCAAGGTGACTGCGCCAGCTCCAGAGGACAGTGGGATAGCAGCTGGGCCGCCTCCCTCCATCTCTACGTATGCACGACACTAGCTTTACAATTATTTTGCTAACACTTTCACAAAATTCAGAAGAATAAAAATGGGATCATGAAGTGCCATAACAGATAGACATGAAGTCTTTAAGTTGTTTTTTTTTTTAAATCGGGTCATCTCGGACATGGTCCAGGACTCAAGCATGGTGGGGAGGTGACTGGGCAAACCTTCACATCTGAGATGTGCTGCTGCTTAAGATGTAAAAAGGGTTTTCTTTTTTATCTTTTTGTAAAGTGGACTGGCAACTGGTATTTGAAATTCCAGGTTGATTCGATTTCTGCTATGATTTAGCCCATCCAAGCTCAGTTGGTGTTGTGCTTGCTAAGGATCGGTTCCTATGTAATGCAATGCCTATAACAATGCTAATACCGCCCTTTCTCCTTGTGCTAAAAAGAAAAAAACACTGTCCTCTAAGATGCCGCGGAAGCCACAGCCTCACCATGAAGGTAGCTGAATGGGGGCCCGCCTCACTCCCCTCCTTGATGAAGCTGATGCCATATCACTCTCCCTCTTATCACTACTTCCAGCCCGGCCCCCCTCTGACCTCCCCCCTCCCAGAGTCCACTCACTGTGGTGAGGTGAGGTCTTAGGGCACCAAAAATTCGAAATATACAGAAAAACAAATAAGTAGCCCTGGCTGGTTTGGCTCAGTGGATAGAGCATTGGCCTGCAGACTGCAGGGTCTTGGGTTCAATTCCAGTCAAGGGCACATGCCCGGGTTGCGGGCTTGATCCCCAGTAGGGGGTTGCTGGAGGCAGCCAATCAATGATTCTCTCTCGTCGTTAATGTTTCTATCTCTCCCTCTCCTTTCCTCTCTGAAATAAATAAAAATATATTTTTTTAAAAAAGTAAAACAAATAAGTAGACCTTTAGCACTAAAGACCCAAATGCCTGGAAATGTCCTTTTATTTACAAAAGAATTTTTGTCATTGCATTTTCTATTATAAAAGAAATAGATGTTAGTTGTAGAAAATTCAGAAACCGCAGACCAAACACGTGTGGGACTCACCCACAATCCCCCGTCCCAGGAGCGCACTAGAGCAGGATGTGTACTTGTCAACGCATCCCCACACCCCTCCGCCACGGAATCACCGAGGGGGCCTTCTGGACACACACATGCTCCGCCTCTGCACTTAACCTTTTAAGTAGACTTTTGTAAATCGATAGCACACTGTTGTCTTGAAAGCCACTCTGTCGATGGCAAGACCAAAGTCCCTTACGGAAGAGAGCTGAAGAAGGTTTTAAAAGCTTGGTTGGGAAGATGAACCCAACCCTGAAGGAGAGAGGCATTCATAGATGACCACCCAGCCAGCAAGGCCGGGCAGAAGGCCTGGGAGGAGGTAGGGCCAGGAGCAGAGGGGCCCTTTCACTTTCGGGGTGCGGTGCGAGAGAACGCAGTTCCTTGGAGAAGCCTGGCTCCAACACAGGAGAGAGAGTGAAGAGACGGCCTTAGGAGGGGCCTGGAGACAAACCTGAGGACTGTCCCCGAGGGTGCCCCCCGAGTGACCAAGGAAAGCAGCCACACCCAGGCACAAGAGACATCAGAATCGGCTCTGAACAAAATGGTGGCCCACAAGGACCCATGACTGGGGACAAGGCGCTGACAATTCACAGACCTTGAGAGGAGCAGAAGTCAGACATGTGAAGCCAATGCGGGCACAAGAAGGTGGAGATCGGGCCAGACGAGTGATAACTGGATGGAGACCCACAGACCAGGTGTGTCACGGCACCTCTCCTCACGCAGGGCAATCTGTACATCACTCACAGGAGAGGGAAGGAGATTCAGTAGGGGCTGAACATCCTATGTAATAAAAGCCTAATATGCAAATCGACCAAATGGCAGAATGACAGGTGGAACAACTGGTTGCTATGATGTGCACTGACCACCAGGGGGCAGATGCTCAACACAGGAGCTGCCCCAAGCCCGCAGGCCCCAGGCCAGCCAAGGTGGGTGCCAGCAGGAGCCCCTGATCGCCCCACTGGTCTCCCCACAGATTGGCCCTGATCACTGGCCAGGCCTAGAGACCTTACTCATGCATGAATTTCGTGCATTGGACCTCTAGTTAAACAATAAGCGGCTGAGTTATTTTCAAATGGAAATAGGAAGCTTGGGCGCTTAGGAGCCAAAATTAACTAGTTCAGTTACAGAGAAATAAAGACAGTGGTGTTTATGTCCCCTGGTTAATGACTGGGGTTTAAAATCCACAACACAATCATGGTAACATTATAGATCATTCCAAACTTTTCTCTGCATGTACACAAAAATAGATAAACGGATTTTTTAAAAATGGGAACATCCTATGTATGCTGCTTTATAAACGGCTCTGTTCATTTAAAAATAACCTGTCCAGCCCTGGCCAGTGTTCCTCAGTGGTTAGAACGTCAGCCTTCACATGGAAGAGTCACGGGTTCGATTCCTAGTTAATGGGTCATACCAGGGTTGCGATTCGCTCCCCGCCCCCAGTTTGTACGCATACAAGAGGCATCCAATCAATGTGTCTCTCTCTCACATCAATGTGTTTCTCTCTCTCTCTCTCTCTCTCTCTCTCTCTCTCTCTCTCCACCCCCCCCCTTCTACTGTCTCTGAAAAGCAATGAAAAAAATATCCTCAGGTGAGGCTTAACACATAATAATAATAATAGTAATAAATAAAAATAACCTGTCCAGCCCTGGCTTGGTGGCTCAGTTGGTTGGAATGTCATCCCATACACCAAAAGGTTGTGAGTTCTATTCCTGGTCAGGGCACACACCTAGGTTACGGGTTCAATCCCCAGTTGAGGCATGTAGGGGAGGCAACCAATCAATGTTTCTCTTTCACATATCTCCCTCTCTCTCTCTCTCTTCCCCCCCCCCCCCAATTTCTCTGTCTCTAAAATCAATAAACATATCCTTGGGTGAGGATTTTTTAAAAAGCTTATTTTATTTAAAAATAATAATAAAAATAACCTTTCGAGGTCAATATAGATATCCATAATCATTGCTAATTGGTTCATGATACAAACTCTTTTTTTC